ACAGCGGCGGGGCTGGGAGGCTGGGGAGCGCGTTCCGAGCTGTCTGTGAAATTCCCATGATCGCAGGCTGAAGGAAGAAGAACTGCGAGAAAGGAGCAGTTGTGTTGGTTTTGCTTCTTGCTGGGTCAGCCTTCCTGGATGGTCGCATTACTCCCTGGTGAACACATTGTCAAGCGAGTACAGGGCAAGAGCCTGGGTTGTTTTTCCCCCTGATTGGTTTCCGTCGGGAGCATCGTGCCGAAATTACCACTTTTCTCCCAGTTTGCTGGTCTGCACAGAGGCAGCGGGAATATGCTCATGAAGGAGTACCGGATCTGCATGCCTCTGACAGTTGAAGAGGTAAGATCTGCTGCTGCTCAGGCTGTTACTTAACAAGGGTTTTCACTTTCAAGGCGAGTTGAGGTTGTATTTGTTTTACTGAATGTTTTTTTTTTCTCCGTGCAATGAACCTAGTCGGAGATGATTGGTTAGAAAGGAATGTTTTTATTGGAAAATAAGGGAATCCTACAGGAACGAAGGTAACTTAAGAGTATTGAAAGCATTGCGTCGTCAAAGTGTGGGTTATAAAGGTTTTCCAAGCAGACTTTTCAGGAGACTCTTACGCATGTTTGCAAGGGAACACTTTGTGCTGAAATCCTCCACCTGATAAAGCGTTTGTCCAAAACCCAGATTCTAAATATATCTTCACCTTTGCTTAAAATACCCTTGTAGATGAGGATGGCCTGAAACTCCAGCACAGGTAGGGTAGGTAGGCAAGAATGGATTAGGCAGACTTTTTTTTTGGTCATTTTATAAAGTGATTGCAGCTCAAACTACTCTCTGTGTCCTGAACCCTTGGCCAGGAACGCTGTGCCTTTATCTGCAAACATCCTGTCTGCTCTTTGAAGCCCAATAGGAATACCCACACGGAACAGAGTTACCGGTGCCTATAAGTAGTGCTCCTCCGTAGGTGCCTGGTGGCACATGCAGAGTTCTCCCAGGTTTAAGGCGCGGAAGGGGACGGGGCCCCGCGGGACCCCACGCGCTCTTGGCCCCCAAGTTTCTGCTCCGCGCTGCCGGGCGGGGCCGCCAGGGGGCGCCTTCCCCGCGGCCGCCAGGGGGCGCGCTTGCTGGGTCCGCCGAGAGGGCGCCCCCTGGCGGCCCGGCGGGGCAGCCCCAGGTTGGACCAACCTGCAGTGACCTGGGCAATCAGTTCATGCTTTTCTGTCTGCTCAGGTGCCTGCGGGCCACGGGGCGCTGAACAGTTTAATTGCCCTTTTTTTTTTGCAATATGCGGAGTCCTCACGAATACGACAGAGCAGTCGTTTCAATGGTCTTTTTGTTGTCTGTGTCTTCAGGTTTGGCAACTTAACAGTGTTCTAAAGCGGAGGGTTTAAACTGCCAAATATTTGCTTCAGGAAATTGCTTCTTCTAGGAGCAGGACCTAAAACCACCACATATTCCTGTCTACCTAGACATCGTTTTTAATTCTAGCATTTTCCCAAACCTGTTATGCAGTATGTTGTGATATTGTGGCATAGGCTGAGGGAGCTGGGTCTCTTTAGCTTGGAGAAGAGGATACTGAGGGGTGACCTCATCAATGTTTACAAATATGTAAAGGGTGAGTGTTGGGATGATGGAGCCAAGGTTTTTTCAGTTATGAACAGTGATAGGACAAGGGGCAATGGATGCAAATTGCAGCATAGAGGTTCCATGTGAATATCAGGAACAACTTCTTTCCTGTGAGAGTGACAGAGCCCTGGGACAGGCTGCCCAGAGAGGTCATGGAGTCTCCTTCTCTGGAGACATTCAGACCTGCCTGGACACATTCCTGTGTGATGTGCTCTGGGTGATCCTGCTCTGGCAGGGGGGTTGGACTAGATGATCTTTCCAGGTCCCTTCCAACCTCTAGGATTCTGTGATTCTGTGACTATTCCTTCAACACATCATTTTGTTTATTGTATTATCCCAAGGTAGACATTTGCCAGTTCCAGTTGTCCTCAGACTTGTTTAATAACCATTTGTTTTGTCATCAGAAGAGAGCAGATCTAATTTATTCTGAAAAATTATCTTTAAACAACATTTCCAGATAAAGAAAAGTTCAAAGATCTCCCAAAACAGGATTAGTTGATGCATGATGAGGCAGAAGACAATGCTGAAAATCTTCTGTTCTCTAGAATGTTAACAGAATTAGTGAAGATACTCCTGTGTCATGTAGTTTCTCCTATGTTGAATCATCCACCAAGAGCTGCAGCTGAGATGCCTTAGTGAGGAACCTAGAACATGTCCGATATTTAGCATGAATTTCATTGTTAATTAGGCAATGAACTAGGGCAAAATTGTGGAACTAGCAGATAGCTTATTTTTGTTACAGGATTAATGTAGTAACAAAGTCCTTCATTGTATCTCTCATAGTGGTTGATCCTAATGGTTGATCTATGGTCTATGAAGGTGTGATAATCTCATTTTTACCCTTGATTGCACATTTTGGCATCTGGGTAGAATAAGGTGATGCATTATGCAGTCAGAGGAGAGCACCATGGGGCAATGCTCACCCTTCCAAAACCAAGAGCAGTTTGGTTCTAGAGGCCCAGACTGCCTCCTTTGAGGCACCAAGTCACTCAGGTTCAGTGGCCGTGGACAGAAATGCCATTTCCAGAGGATACAGTTTCCCACAGGACTAGGAGGTTGGGCCCTGGTCTACAATGGCTTTTGGGTACCCAACTGATGTTGATTTTACTGAGAGTTACACAGTCAGTATTTTTGAGGCTGTCAGTTCCAGCAGATGTGTGGAAAATGCAGTTCTTTCTTACACAGCTGCACAGCTTCCCTTTTTGTGCTGTTTTCCTTACTCAGACTTTACAACTCTGTTTTTTCAGCTGTTTGAAAGTTCTGGCTTTCAGCCTGTGCACTTTATACCTACATTCAAAAGCAGTTTTTTAGCATTTTCTTTTTTAGCACTGACTTGTCAGTTATCCATACATATAATTTTCACAACATAAATGAGAAAGAATACCACCTTTAGGCTGTGGTGGTGTCACCAAGAGCAGAGTCACTTCCCATGTCATTGCTGTGAAAATAATCAGGCACAGGAGGCAGCCAAGCACCTGTACCTCACCTTCAGTAGGCAGTTTTGTGTGTAAAGTGAAAAAATGTGCATTAAAATGTTGCATAATATCCAGTCTGGTAACTAGAAGTCATTGCTTCTGCAAGTAGATGAATATGCACCCAGCAGTAAAGCCATTAATACCACACTGGCTGACTATCAGGAGCTAATAATCTCTAGAGAAGAGAACAAAACTGAGGGATGTCCCCACAACAGCAAATACTACCTCTGGGTTTGGAGAGTTCTTGGCATTGTTGAGGACAGGAGATTCTGCATTGCTGGCTTCCATGAGCTACTGCAGATGGAGTTCTTGAGGCTTGCTGACTTTGATTACCTTATTAAACAAGATATCCAAATACTGAAGGGAGTTTTGTCTATGTATCTGTCAGCTCAGAGGCCAAATGCTTTCCTTCAATTAAACATGTCTTAAGAAATGCTGATTGCTACTTAATTATCTGTTCTGGTGTATATTTTGAGGTAGGCTATGGGAGCCAGAGGTTCATCTTTGTTCCTCTTCCCTAAGCACCAGGAAAGACAGGTTGTTCCAGGAGTGCTTGCTGAGATAATGTGGCACTCCACTGCAGTACTTATTCAAGGCTGAGTTAACTCATTAACCTGATTTTTTTATTGACAGTTATTTAGGACTTTTACATATATATTTTTGCAAGGTGCCTGATCAGCTTTAAAATAATTTGAGAAAGGAAATACCATTTTAACTTGTAAGCAAAAATAATAACAACTGCTGGAATACTTGGGAAATGAGGTCAGGATATAGCTGTTGGTTGATGAAGCCAATACAGTTGCCAATTAGAAGTCATTCTTTAGCTCATTTGTGGTACATTTGGGAGGCATGCATGCAAATTCAGTACTTTAGTTAACACTGAGACCTTATAAGTCGTTTGTTTTCATTAATACATAAAGCAAGAAAAATCTGCTGCAGTAATTGCTTAGAATATGTTACCAGTCTTCATCCCGGCTGCAAATAATAAATGGGCCTGCCTCTTGGTTATTTTTTCCTTTGCATCTTCACATGTTTGTTCATTCTTACAAATAGCTTGTTGCATCATATGAGAGAATATTCTAATAGGCTGCATTGTGTGTTTTAAAATATCATCAGTTAAAAGAACACATTCCTAAGCAAGTGAAAAGAACACTAAGCAAATGAAAAGAGCAGACATTATAAATTATTTTAGAGATTGAGGTCTCATTGCAGATTGTAATTCCACCATTCTTCACAGGAAGGATTACATGGTTTTGTGCTTTTATCCAAAAATATAAACCAAATCTGGTAGATTAGCCTGTTACTGAACTTGTATTTTGGAAGAGGGAAAGGATAGTGAAGTTTATGATTTGAGTGGAAAGTGATTATCCTTTAAGGGAACAGATGGAAATACATTTTTGCTGGATCCTCTTAAAAATGGAGTTGTTATTGCTGTAAAATGCTAATAGAGATGTGAAGGTAGGTTGTATATATTTTAAAGCTGAACATCCAGTAAAATACAGAAATCATCTGTTTTTCTCCTTGGAAACATTTTTATTAGTTCTGAATTGCTTATGTATGGCCAGTACCTGAAGTCCTAATAGATGTGTGGTTTTTCCCTTTGTTTTTATTTCAACCAAGATTATCTCTGCTGAAGTTGATGGAACTGCTCCCATTCTATGATTTAAATAAAAGCTTAGTTTGATCTGTGGGGAGCACTGCCTGCATGAGGTGTGTAGGAGCAGCTGTGTTGTCCTGAATGCAAACAAGCAGAGACCTGCAAAGTATCTGTAAATGGAGATCATGATTTTTCAACAAAAAATCCTTTCAACAGTAAAAAATTCTGGGTGTAGAGGTGTTGTGCTTGCTCCTTTATAAGAATATCCGGTGTTTAGCTCTTGTTTCAAACATTATGAATTCTCCCAGTGTGAATTATTTACATAAAATGATTGTGTAAACATTCATTGATTCTCTGAATCTTGTGTACATTTCTTCTTTAAAAGATTTCAGAGCCTGCTGTTTTGTGTACAAAGGATACTTGTTATAGCACGTTTTATTCAGTCAAATTTCTAGCTCAATGAAAGCATTTGAGAAGGTGTTTCTGTGCCCTGAGAGTCAGCAGGTGTTATGATATTTAGAAATAATTATATGCATGTAGAGCAGAAAAGCCTTTATAAAGTGTAAAATGCATTTTCTCTAAACTATAGTTATCTACTGCAGGACAAACTACATATACTTATCCTGCAGTTAATACAGGTAGATTAAATAGTGGTT